ATCGTTTTGCGGCTTGCACCATGCCCAGCCATTCATCATTCACAAAGAAACTGCAAAGAACAGTTTCAAGAAACCAACTGAGAGTAATTAAGTTTTACAGAACTGACACCACAAGTTATCCATGATACTACTGAATCCTCTTTTTTTTTCTTTTCTCTTTCTTTTTTCTTTCTATTTTCTTTATTTATTTTTTTTTGTTTCTTCTTCTGTTTATTATTTGGATTTGTAAAAGAGAAATCAAAAAATGGACATACACACTTGCAAATGAACTATGATCTATCCCACTCTATGTGCAATGGCTACAGCTCATTGAATTTTAAAACACAGAGTACTATAGTAGTACACAGCCCTTGAGCCAAAAGAACAAAGTAAAACAATCAGAAAAGTGCTATAAATTTAGATTTCCTTCTGTGAATGGAGAAAAGTGACACGGGTTGACTCTGGAAATTGTATTTATAGTTTACAAACCCTTACATGTGCAATATCAAAAGTGTCCACTTGGTGGTCGCTTGTGCCTTCAATAAAGATGTTTTTTATCATGTCCAAGAGTCAGTCGTGTGCTTTCCATGGCTCTAAGAAGCAGGGAGCTACTCTTCAGCCACTCTTGACACACCTGGGCTGCATTTTCAATGCCACAGCAAAACAAGATGCAAGTGGGGGGACCTTGGTGACCCTAGATCAGTATTGCCAGTGAAACAACTTTAAAATCAGCCTAGTGCAAATTCCTAAAACAAACTTGTTTCAGAGTCTCTGCAGACATAAAACTGGACCACTTCTATATTACAGACCAGACTGTCTATATGACAACACGGCGAATTTCTTGACAATATCCATGCCTTAGAAACATCTTCTGGAATACATAAAATACACAGGAATGTATAATGTAGCCATTGGACTAGAAAAGGTGACACTTAACTCTCTTACTCTTTTGAGCTGCCATATATCCAAACGATTGCAGCCCTGAGAGTCTACTGTGTAAAATAAGCTGCCTGGATGAGTGACTTCAGATCAGTAGCGTAAATAACAGCACAATGCAAAAGGCCACAGGGAATTAGTTTATTAGAAAACTTCTTTTTTCTTTCTGTATAACCTTACCACAACTTCAAAGTATTTCTAGGATTGCTTCAGAATCTCATAACAGAAGGCCAGAAAGAGCCTTCAGTAGATGAGATTCAGTTCTGGTATAATGAGATCACTGGGCCTGAACTTGGTGCAAAGCTTAGAAAATGCATATAGAAAGATGTGACGAGAATTGCAGCATTATCCTTTCTTTGTTCTCCCTTTTGCACACCCTGGACAGAAGCACAACATGATACATACTGGCAGATTCCATTGGAAAGTATCTTTTTATGACAGAAAAATTGTTCTCAAGTCACTGACTTGACTTTTCAAGTCAATGCCTTGACTCCAGTTTCTGGCAAAGATGATTCCATTTACAATCCCACTTATGAAATGATGGAGCTGCATCTTACTGTTAATTAAGCTATTTTTCCCCATCCTGACTGGTCGAATGAATGGACAAGGAATGTAGTAGAGAAGCAGCAGGCAATACCTTGTTGGGAATAATTTTTAATATATGAACAAAAAATCCAGAATATTTTTGCATCTTTGTTGTTTCATCTAGTCTGAAAAATTACAAGTAAACAGCAATCTGCCACAGTCACTGCCAAAGCATCTCCCTGGCTTCTTCAGATGATACTGTTCCCAAATGAGAGGGGAAAGTTGGCATGAGGTTAATAAAGAGATTAACTTAAAGTGGATGTATGAGAAAAGCAAGACAATTAAAATTTGCAGTGTGGGATCTAGTAAGTGGTAAGAAGGAAGAAGAAAATAAATGCATTTGGCTTTCATGGGCAGCTATGCCTAAGAAATATCTGCAGAGACTAAAAAGAAAAGGGGATAAAACATATTAGAAATTCCTTTTAATGTATATACCTGGGAAACCTTTCTCTGTCTGAACACCTTCTTTTGTTTAAATTGGTGAATCAGTCTAGGCATTTCCCTTGCCCACAAAGCTGTACTCTGTATTTTAGATTATGCCACTTTTCTGCTTCTGGTTTGCAATGTGACCCGATAAACTCACTGCACACTGATGCGGTAAAACTTCTGTGAGTAGTTTGCACCATATTCTTTTTGATTAATGGCATAAATGAGAAAATACGTTTAGATTCCTCTGGTGAACTCAGGACTCTGCAGGGGAATTTCACTGCCTAAAGGACATGTTCAAATGTACGTCAAACCCTGTGATGTTTTTTCAGCTACTCAGCTTTGCCACAGGAAATCAGAAAGAAATATTTATATGTTAAAATTTAATTTAAGGTATATTTGAACAGCACTTGAAAGTTTCTCGAGCTTCCATTTGTGCCCTACAAAAGACTGGCAGAAGTGTACCCTATTTCCATCGACAACTTGTGCTAATGACAGAAGGTGATGAAATCGATCAAACAGAACAATAATTCCTAATGAAACAGTTTTACATTTAATTAATTTGAGTGCCAAGGCAGTTCTTAATGATCGATTCATTTTTTCCTTTTAAACCCTCATCATGAATTAGGTAGCTGGGAAAATACGGACTAACAGCCCAGTATAACTTGAGCCCATGCAACACGGTTTCTGCCTTAAGTCGATGAGAAAAGTGTGGGCTCAGCAAGATCCCACACTGAGGGCTCCTCCTGGTCCTGGCTTGACCAAGACGCCACAGATGAAACCAAGCCAGAATTATTTTTGCTGCCCTCTATAAGGCTAATTCAACTTCTACCAATTAATTTCCATTAAGATTATTTCTCAGTTAAAATGAGAAGAGGGATATTGCTTCTTTCAGGGATACAGAAACACAATGTCAAATTGCCACATTTTAATATATAAAGGAAACAAAGTTCCTATAATGCAGAAGTGGTTTTTTTTCCTAGTGAAAATTGCTACATGACAGAGAGACACTTGGATTTATATTTTACTGTGGATGGGCTGGAACTGACTCTGTTAGTCAGAAGAAACCCCAAACTAGCTTTTAATTTTGCAGCTGGCAACCAATTGCTATGAAAGGCTCCTGATTCTTCAACACCCAGGCTTTTAACTTTTAATGAATCCAAGTTTTCTGGACTGGTTCTTGTTCTTATCTAAAGACATGTATATATGGGTGTGTATATGTATACACACAGGTATGAGTAGGTATGTGCGTGTGTACACACACAGACATTTACTACTGTTGTTCAACTTTTCACACCTACGAAAGCCAGTGGGATATTCGAAACTTCAGAGACTGAAAAATGAGGTACAAACCCTTTCCATTGTCTGAAGGCTATATCGAAACCTCTCGGGAAGATGGAGTGTTGTTCTCTGCAAATGCCTCCTGTGGGATTTACCATGAAATTAAAGCAGTAAACAGTCTAGTGTGAGTGCTGCGTAACTTGCATTTCCTTCATCAGGTTTCTTTCACCTAACACTTTTTAACTATTTTTCTTCTTTATTGCATTTCTTCTTAGAAATGCTATAATTTCATTGGTATTGGTGATACACACTGCACCCTTGACATGCAGATGTGATACAGCTGAGCCAGCGGTTGCGCCCCACTCCATCCCTCAGCGCCTGCCCCACAGCACTGCTCCCTGCCACAGCCTCGTCGGTGTGCCTGGACACATCCTGAGGCACCCCAACTTCCTAACCTGCCTGAAAATATTGCAGCAAAGATCAGGTTTACAGTTTTCTGCTCTGTTAATGAGTTCAGTAAATACACTGGGCAGCAAAATACATATCTTGCTAGGGGAAGGGAGTGGACTGTGCAGCCACAGAGGGAAAACAGGGAGGGAATGGTAGAGGAGAGGAGAGGAGGGAATGTGCTTGGCTCTGCCAGCAGCAATTAGAGCAGCTCAGCTATGCCACCTAACCAGAGCTGAAGTCTCCATATTTTGTTCCCAGCCCAAAGTCAGAAGCAATTAAGGTTTGATTTCAGAACAGCACAAACGATACACATACAGAACTTTACAGATGTGAAAGGGTAATGAATAATGAAAAGATACTACATAATGTCCCTTGGGGAATATGGACACAGAGAGAAATCTAGAGGCATGTTTTAAGAACCCAAATGTAAAAAATACATAGTTTTGGTAGTGCCTAAGCCATTAAACAGACAGCCCAGAACCAAGGTGGAGGGAGATACTCTGGTGCTGTGTGAAACACGCTGTACCCCCGGTGCCGCAAAAGGCACCTTCCTCTAGGTAAAAGGACTGGGGAAGAAACAAGAAAATACAGAAAGGGTGGCCATGGGCAGGCTCTGCAGGTGAAGAAGTGAGATGGAGAGAGAGTAAACAACAGAAGATGTGGCCAGTGGCAATGATTCTGCCTCTGCAACACTTTGGAGATGCAAGTGTTGTTGTTCTCCCTGTTGTTCTCCCCCCTGCCAGACCTACAAAGCTAGAGTAATTCAGCCATGTGTTTATCTTTCCATCTATATGGTCTATCTGCTCTGTTGTGCAGGGAAGAACTGAAGTGAGCATGCAGAAGGTGTGGATAGCAGCAAACCTGCTGCCCCTTTGCTGTTCTGAGAGGTAAAATTCAACACCATCAATTGGCTTGTATTTCATTTTAATTACTTGTACAGGGAGGTGTTTTTCATGAAGCTGGACACGAGGGTACAGAACATGTATTCCTGAGTCCAGCTCTCCAACAGTGAACCTTAATCTATTAACCCTTATCACCTTAATCTGCTAACAAAATGTGCCCCAGAGCATCTTACAGGAGGCGCACATTAAAACAAGCCCACTGAATTCTTTCCTGGCTCTATATCTACGGGCCAGGATCTGCTATTCTCACTCATTTGTGTCATTTACCCTCCGAGCGGTTTCGCTAATTGCGATTCATCTTCCTGGAACGGGACTGCAAGTAGCCTGAGGTAACTATCTGCACGAGGGAAAAAAAAAAAAAAGAAACACGAATCTGATCCTTTTTTTCACCGTATCTGACAGCAAATCTGGGCTGCACGGAGCTGTGCATTGAGTGCTGGGCGTTACGTTGAGCAGGGTGGTGGGACGGTGTGATGGTGTGATGGGCTCTCAAGGAGGGAGCGAAGGGAGGAAGAAGTGAGCCCAGTGATGTAAAGAGAGGCAGGGAGTGCCTGCACCTGGGCTGAGGAAAGGACGCCAGGACCTCGTGCGCTGCGCAGGAGCAACCCCAAACCCCACAGCCACAAACGGGAGATAAGCCGGGAAGTTCCTGCAGAACGAACAACTTTTTCCTTTTTTTTTTTTTTTTTTCTTTCTTTTTTTTTTTTTTCCCCCTCATTTAACGGGAGCTTGGCACGGGAGAGAGCAGCCAAAAGAGGGCGGACCTCCGCTCCGCTCCCCTCAGACCCACCGAGGCCGGCGCCCCGAGGCGGGGGGATGCGGCGCGGGGCCGGGGCGGGCGGCCGGACACCGCGATGAGGGGCGCCGGGGGCTGCTGGAAGCGGCTGCGGCTCCGGGGCCGGCGGCGGAGCTCGGCCGCCTTTCTCCTGGCTTGGGCCGCCTGCTGGCTGGGGCTCAGCGCCTCTCTCCTCGCCCTCCTCCGCCGGGGAGCCTTCCCCGGGCGCTGCACGGACGAGAGCGGCCGCAGCATCCTGGCCAGGCTGGTAGGTGGTGGGGCAGGGCGAGGGGAAGGGAGGGAGGGAGGGAGGACAGGAGGATGCTCCCCCGCCCCGGGATCCCCGTCCTGGGGTAAAATGAGCAAAAAAAGCAGGTTTTAGGGTTTGCGGAGCCGGGAGCGCTCGGGGAAAGAGGAGCAGCGTGGGTTAAGGCGCGCAGCGGGGTTTTGCTTCTTCTTTCGGGCTTTTCGTGGTGCTGTTGGGGAGAGGGGAAGGGAGGAATGCTGCTGGCAGCCAGACAATGGGCAGCAAGCAAGAGCTGCCCCCCAAATTTCCCTCGGCTCTGTGTGACAGAGGATCGCAGGGATGGGGAGTGATGCTGGGCACCGGGCTGCAGCCGGGGGGAAGGATCCTGCCCATCCCTCTGCGAGGACACAGGACAGTGGGGAGCCCCCCAGCTCCATCCACTGCCATCAGAAACCGGAGCAAATGGGTGGATGGAGACCTGGTGCTGGGTGGATGGAGACCTGAGGGCACTTTCCCTCAGGTTTGGAGAGGATTAGGCACGGCTGCAGAAGCACAGGCAGAGCCAGATTTCAGGCACCAGTTTGGGAAGTTGTCTTCATCCATGTGTGGCAAGCACGGTCTGGAGGTTGTCTTCAGAAGGTCCTTCCAGAGGAATGGTAGCTGAGAGCACCGCATCCGTCTGCTTGCTTCGGTGAGTCTTGGACAGTAGCACCAAGGGCTGTAACCAGCAGGCTTCCCGAATAGCGTTAGAAAGGCACTGTCCTAGTGGAACAAGGAAAAAACGAGCTCGTATTCATCAGCCCAGAAGTAGGTCTTTGTACACCTTTGCAACGCTGCGTGAGTTTCGCAGCTCCTCAAAGTGCAGGTGGCCTGCAAAACAACCGTGTGGCTTCAGCCTCACATCTTTCACAAAGCAAAGTCAACTTCCAAGGAAAACTATTTTGCCGGTCATCTGTAATGCATTCAGCAGGAGAGAAGATGAGGAATCATTTTAAACAAGTGCGTGACGATTGCATGGCTATATTCTCCTTCAGGTGGTATTTCTGAGGGTTTCTTTCCCTCTCGTAAGTAACACGTAGCTCTGTGTAGCTGTGCACTGCTGTGGGAAGGGCAGAGCAGCACCGTGTGTCTGACAGAGGCAGCTTTCAGCTCTCTGAAGGACCGCTTGCTGTTTCTTAACATCACTCTCACCTTCGTTTACACTGAACAAACTAAATTGCATAGTGATCAGTTTTGATTTTCTCTGGAGAGTTTCACTAATTTTGCTGCCTCCCCAAAGCTTGATTAGCATAGCATTTACATAGAAGAAGTACTTGATTACAAGACAGGACTCATTCTCAGGCCTGATTTACACACAAACTGGCAGTGGTGCAGCAAATTATTTAAATTGATATAAATTCTAGGCAGAGTTTACATTAATTTAATTTTTTACATGAATTTAAACCCATCTTTTTAAAGTTATCTTGGTAAGTGAACTAAGGATATGAAAAATTATGTGGCCAAATTAAACAGAAACAGATGAGTGAGTCCAAGCCTCACTTATGTTGTGTTTCTGTGTCTGTCTCATCAACAGATCTCAAAGTGCAGCCATTAAGATAGAGGTGTCAGTGTGACAGACCATTTCTAGAAGATTTCCTTGAACTTCAATTCTCCTGTTTATCAGCAGTCATCACGGTGCTATAAAATCTTGTATGGTGAAGGCTGCAGTTAGTGCAAAGTGTCCTGGGTTAGCAAATTACAAAGAGAGCATCTTTTTGTTGCAGTGTAATCTGACTCACCTGTCTAAAGGTTTTCAGCCCACAAAAATGGGCTTTAATAAAGTAAATTACAAGCTAATAGACTGGGGAGCAAAACAATACAACCTATGCCAGTAGGATGGAAGACTGTCCTGTGAAACTGCATGACTTTGGAAAGGATGTGGGGGTTAAATAATTGCTTCAGCATGAGCTACCAGTGCAGACCGTGCCTAAAAGGCTGATACGAGCTCTGACCGTATCCCAAATGGAGAATGAGGGAAGGGCTGCTGCCTGTCTTTGCAGCACTGGACTGTGGCACTCAGTTCTGAAGTCTGTGCTTCTAGAGACCTATGGGGGAAATCAGAGAGAGAAATGGGGAGAGAAGTAAGAATACAAAAATGATGTAGGGGCTGATAAAAAGTAACCGTCATAGTGAGAGGCTGATGAGCTAAGCTTACTCAGTGTTTCATGCATATGGAAAAACATAAACCACTTGAAGCTGGAATAAGGTGGAACTGAAGTACAGAGGATATAAAGTTGGAGTCAGTCTTTGCTGGCCTTTGAGACTGTAATGAACAGGAAAATGAGGACATTTTTGAAATCATAGAGTGAATTGTAACTCACTGTGTTCTGTGAGTAGAGAAACTCTTGAAAGTTGTTCAAACTGCTCTGCTGCTTTTTGATTAGTTCAGAAAATCTTTCTGAGATTCTTGCTTGCATTGGTGACCAATGGAGAATGTTATTTCTTTAGGGACAATCTGTATTTCATCACCGTGAGAGTAGGAACTCCTTGGGCAATTTATGTTTGCAAAACACTGCCCAGGTTCAGTGCAAGAGGGATCACATTCAGAGACTGTTTGTCAGATACTGGTTGAAATGGAACAGGAGACAAGTCCCAAATGGCAGCCAGTTCAAAAAATGACTCAGCTCCTATGCCTGGGACATGTGAGACTGTTTTTTCCATGACTTTTTCTCATTAATGCCATTAATAATGACATGATGGCAACACAAGAAAACAGGCTGCACATTCACATGCTTTACTGCAGGTCTTCTGGGCACGGGTTCTACTAGATGTACAAGCCTATGGGCCCTCCAGGAGTGAATGTGGTCGATAAAGGACCACAGGTAAGACTGTCCACAGGGGCAAGGGTTCACCCATGTGGACCCAATTACAGGACTGAGCCCTGATTCTCTTAATGTAGCGGAACAAGAATTAGGTTGTGGTTTTCTCAGTAGGAGAGCAAGGATTTTAAGTGTAATTATATTTAAGCTCCAAAACAAAATGAAAAAAAAAATTCTTCTGCTTGTTATCTTTTCTAAAATTGCCTAGCGTTCCAGGCAGCAAGAGCTGCTAAACTACTTCCACTGAGAAAATTACATTTCCTACTTAAAAGTGTAGAATACATTTGTATTGCATTCATAGGAGTGAATTTTCAAAAGCAAGACCATTGACCTGTGTGCTCTGAAGTCTGTGGGCAGCCCAGTGAATGTGCTTGACCGTGCTGATGTGGATGTGGATGCAGATGCACACATGTGCACCCCCTGGGCCAGGGGTCGGGACATTCATGCCAGAGTTTGGCTTTGTGGCTCCCCTTGCTGGAACTGAATATTTTCTTTTGGCTGTGAGAATATTGGAGTATAGGTCTTATGCTTATCTGACCAGCCCTCGGTGAGCTGTTTCAGCCAATTTAGCTAAAAATTTAGCTAAATTAACCCTTTCCTGCTCCATTCCTGGATTTTAGACATAATCCCGTGCCCGCTCCCTGGTGTATTTTTAACCCTGGTCTCCGAATATTGCCTGGCATCAGAATTCATTCTCCCGGTGCACACCTCAGAGGCTCTTCTAAGGAAATGCATCCCTTGAATTTCATGCTCGTGTTTCCTGTTTATGTAGCAGCAAGTCACAAACGAGGCGGGGGTCAGGCAGACGTTGCAAGTATTCCACGTGCAGTGGGAGCTGCCAGCTCACTTAAATGCAAGCTCAAATGCCAGAAAGCAAGGAAGGAGAGCACTGTCAAGCCTCCTCCCAGCTGTTTGGCTTCCTACACCACCACGGTCTGCTCCTCTTCCACCAGAGAGCGGTGATCACCCCTCTGCCGATTCCCCCAAAGCAGTCCCTGCAGCTGCACTTCTGAATGCCCTCAGGAATATAGCAACTGCCTACACTCTTGGACGTGATGGTATGGAAACAATTACGGGGTGAGGGAAGGACTGGTGGGGGAATCCTTGCAGTTCTCTTATGAATTTACAGTGGTCGCTTAACTAGCAAGCAGAAAAGTAATTTTGTTATAAAACACTGTACAAATTTAAAAATTCTGAGAGTTCTTGGCCCAGGAGGTACTGCGTACAACCTCTTTGCTTCCAGGCAGTGCAGAGGGAGGTTCTTACAGCTTCCTTCAGGGCATCTCCAGCACAAAGCTGACACATGCAGGACTGCTGAGGGTCCTGGCTATCCAGCTGTAGTTTAAGTGGGGATGTCTAGGTTACACTGTGCTGATTCTCTGCCTTTCTTCTAAATGGTCCAGGGGCATCTGGTCCTGCTATGGTTATTCTTCTCTTTTGCTCCAGTGTCTTGACTACAGCAGCGGAGTCCTGACCGGCGACCTCTGTGAGGACCTGTGTGTGGCACAGAAGCTGGTGTACAAACACTGCCTGTACTACGACAGGGGGAAGAAGGTCATCCAGGCTGACTGGAGAGGCCAGCCCATCATCCTGAAATCCAAACAGGAAATCTTCTCCAGCTACCAGCACCTCAGCATGCTAGAGGAGGTGGAAACGCAGGATATCACCGAAACGGAGCTCCTGCTGATGGCAGCCCTGGAGGTCAAAAATGTTCTGGGCCTGGAACTGTCCAACAACACCATGGGGCCCCTGTGGACAAGGAGGAAGGGACCCCATTGGAAAGCACAGGTGGCCAGCATGTGGTCCTTGCTCCAGCAGGAGGAATATATCTTCTTCAGTTTGCTGCAGGACTTCAGCAAACATGTGCTACGAATTATTGGCTCTTGTGGACACTTCTATGCCGTGGAGTATCTCACAGCTGGACACGCCTGGCACAAAACTCTTTTTCCCTTGGAAGACATGGCTGGTTCCTCCCTTACTGGCCACAGAAGCAGAGTGAGAGCCATCATTGACATCGCACTCAGCTTTCTGGACATGGTGCAGCATTTCGACAATGATTTCTCTCACCGACTTCACCTGTGTGACATCAAACCAGAAAACTTTGCTATCAGGCACGATCTCACGGTAAGCTGGGGCCTTGGGGCTGTGTTGCAGTGTTTTGAGGTCAAGTTCTAGACTGAAAGGGGCTGTGCAAAAAATGACAGGTCTCTCCTCATACAATTTTTGGCCAAGCTTTTGCAAAACAAACACATTTTAAAACCGACAGGGGAGCCCTATTACTACGTTTTGTCATCGTAATATGTAGAGCCACATCTCAGAGCACTAGATCCTGCTGCTTGTTTTGGGGGCTGTTTATTCAGTTCTGACTTGTTTCACCTGCTCAAAGGTACTGACACTGACGGGGTCGTATCCTTTGGACATGGTGAGGGATGCCTCCCAAAGGCAAGGGGATCTCAGAAGCTGTGAATGAAGCTGTAACCTGAGTCCTGGCAACTATTTCTGGCAGTGTTGCTGAAAGGAAAGCTGTTAGAGCCTGAGCACTACGGCTGGATTCTCTGCTCTGACACAAAGGGAACTCCCTGCATACAAACATACACATCTTTTTGCTTTAGTGTTCAGATTATCTGATCTGGAAACGATTCGAGGACGGTGAAAAGAAACTCCCTGGTACTGCTGCTGTTTGACTTGTCATTGTACGGCTGTAACTCTGAAGTGGATAACTGTAAATGTTTTCTAAGAGGTGACATAGCTCACCACCATATTGCTGAATATGTATTCAGTCTGTGGACAGAAATCCCACAGATTTCAGTGGGAATTGTGTCCATGGACTGGAGCCACCATGTAGTAAGCGTCTGAACCAGACTTGCCGTTTGCAGTGACGTCGGTGGGGTTTCTGCACTCGGAGTGCATACAAAGTGTTGTCAGGAGCTCAAATGCTATTATCAGCACTCACGGACACTCCAATCTTTAGAGCACTAGATAAACATTGCCTAAGCTTATAGCCATTAAGAGCAATTAGAGTGCTTCCCCTTCATCTTCCCTTCACTTACGTTGTTTATTCAGGTGCAATACAGCAGCTGAAGAGGGAATGGTTGGGGAGGTGTAGCAAGAAACTAAGAAAAGCATACCAGTATTTAGGCAAAGTGGGATCTGACAGAGGTTCTTCAAGGCAGGCTTGCCTGTCCTTTTCAGCTCTGCCGGCTGTAACTGCACATGGCTGAGCACACACTAGAACATCTGCTTTGCTGCCTACTTAGAGGAAAATGATTGCACTTAGGAGAAGAGGAAGGATATTCGATGTGTCCTCCATTGCAAGTCCTTTTGGTGAGGCTTGGTTTTCCAGAATTCTCTCATGACTTCTGGGGTCCAAAGAGACAGAGGTTGCGTCACCTTCTGGTAGACCAAAGCATTCTAATTTAGTATTTTCTAGGAAAAATAATTATAAAAAAAAAAAAAGAAAAAAAGAAAAAAAAGGAGCTGCTGCTTTGCTTACACATGGGTCTACCCAGCTTGTACATTATGTACAGACCATTATGTGATGGTATCTCCAGCTATCACCCCACTGGGCTCAGAGGCAGGAAATGCCTTCAGCCAGAAAGCTGAGGGGGGAATTAGAGATAGTTCCTCTTGAATGACTATGGGAGGAGGGCAAGAAGTGGGAACCCTAGGCTGCTTTGTCATTTGTCTCCAGAGTGGGCTCCTTCCTGCATTTCCTTAGGACTCAATACCTCCATCATAATTTCCAATCATTACAAAATCAAGACATAGCTATTTACAGGTTGTGTCACCCAAACCTATCTGTACAGCATCTGGTTGGATGCCCAAGCATTTTTGTAACAGGTGAACTGCAGTGAAAAAAATGACCCCCTTTGCAGCTGCATGTTTGAGAACCAGGGCTCTTTTTTCCTAGCAGAACAACGGGTGAGATTGTCACAGGTGCTCAGTGCTGGCAAAGACCCGCTGGGAGGCTGGTGCAGTGACCATAGGACTGGAGAAATGCTTCACTGTTTTTACTGTCTCTTTGCCTTGCTACAAGAATCTCCAGTTGCTACAAGCTGTTCATATCAAATCTGTAGAAAGTTTAAGGAAGTAAAGAAAAAAAGAACAAAAACTGCCTTTCCAAATGTGTGAAATTGCCTAGGCTATGTCATGATTATCAAGCTCTCCAAGAAGCTTAAAAATACTTGAGTTTTTAAGCTATGCCTCATCTTTTTAACATTCCCCTGGGGGCAGGGGAAAAGAAAAAAAAAAAAATAAAAAGAATAAAATGAAGATTAGACCTTCCTCTTTTGCCTGTGGAAGGTTTGCTTGGCCTTCTACCAGACCAGACATCTTTAGCTGCTGGGGTTGATCCAGCTGCTGCTCCAGCCACACAGTTCAGCTTCCCGTGTAATTTTGGAAGGTTGAATCTCAAAAATAAGACTGTCTTTTGGACACAAATAACTCTGTTTTGCCCAGGTCCCTGTAAAAAGTATTTCGGCCTCTATGAGAGTCTCTGAGTCAAGGGTCTGAGTGTTAAGCATGGCTCTGAAGGACTGCTGGCGGCTGCTTTCATAGCACTGAGGGGAGACTGTGTTCACTGGGCAGCTGCCACCCCATGACAATAACTGTGGCAAACACTCCCAGCTTTCAGCAGCCTCAGGGACCCATTTCTACAGCTGCTCAGGTACCGCTGGATGCAATGGCAGGTCTGGAGGAGCCGTACCAGGGGCAGGTATTGCTGTGCATCGCAGCGCTCCTCTCCACAGCACCAAAGTGTAGTCTGAAAGGTGAATTGTGAAACGAGACCATCTGGCCTGCGGGTAATTTTGCAGCATCACATAATTAAAAGGTTGAGTTGCCATCTGCATAAACTGTAACAACAAGTTAATCAATCTTCGAGGTGGATAGTCCTGGTTTAAGGCAAATCAATCCAGTTGACCTCAGGGATGCACATACTGTCCGCATATAATTTTCCCTTTCCTGCTGTGGTAAGCACTGGCTGCTTTTGTTTAAGAATTGGTATTCATAAGACCACTGCTGCTCGGTTACGCTGAAGAAAGCCTTTTCATTGAGATTCTGGTTCACCACAGGCACATGATCTCAGCACAGCATTTCCAAGAGAAAGGAGCAAAGGAATGCTTGCTCAACCCTGTCCAGTCTGTGCTGTGCCAGTTTTGATGGCTTGTTTTTATCCACAGGTGGTGGCCATCGATGTGGATATGGCCTTTTTTGAGCCCAAAATGAGGGACATCCTTGAACAGAACTGCACAGGAGATGACGACTGTAATTTTTTCGATTGCTTTTCAAAATGCAATCTGAAAGTCAGAAAATGTGGAGCACAGAGAGCCAATAACAACTTGCAAGTGAGTAGACACAGCTGCTTTATGCATCCATTTATTTTACAGTCACATTGACTATAAAACGTATGGTATGTACGAGGACACCTGTGCAGTGCAGATAGACACGTTTTTAAATGTGGCCACATGAGTGCCAGTCCCATTCAGAAATCCCATCTTGGAGCAGCAAACAGACCTTTATATTCACTAGCATTTATTTGCTGTGTTTCCATGTAGCTGGTACAGACGTTGTTTGCCCAGTGCCTCACGTGTGAGTAGAGGCAGGAGGAGCAGGGCATTATCATTACTATGATGAATTTGAGGCTGTCTACCTGTAAGCAGTGGGAGGCTGTGGCTGCTGTTCTCCACTCTCCAGACATAGTACGGAGATAATACAGAGAAAGTGGTCCATGGGTTTCCTGGCCTCGGATTGAGGTGTCCTATAACTCACCCAAGTGGTGCTGCTGGGATGTGCTCGCTCAGCACAGAGGCTGGGGGGCACAGCTCGGCTGCACTTTGCTTCCCAGCCTCCCCATCCTCACCACTTGTTATGCAGAAAAACAAGAGCAGCCTGAGCAGAAGGGGGATTCCTCAGCTAGAGAACAGCCTCTGTACAAACTCCTCTTCTTTATCTTCCTCTGAATGGCTGAAGACATTTTTTTTAAATTCAGCTGCTACACGAGTAGAGACATTTTGCTTCAGTCCCAGGGAAGCGGCAGCGCGTTAGTTACAGCTCCCACAAGACAGCAATCTGCTCTTTTTTGCTTTCCTCAGGTCATTTGTGACAAAATATTCCGCCGCTGGTTTTCTCCCAGCCTCAGAGGGCCGCTGGTTTCCTTCCCCCTGCAGCCACAGCTGCAGAAGGCTGTGCAGGAGTGTGCAGAGCCGGGGCGTGTGGATGCTGCCGCGCACCAGAGACCCCTGAAATCTCTCTCCAAATTGTACCACCTGCTGCGGGTCAGCCAGCGAGAACTGCTGAGGGCAGAGTAGACACAAAAGGCACAACTGCGAAGGCCACAGCACAGCCAGTGCTAAGGGACACCGTGTGCGAGGCAGCCTGTGTTTTCTGTCCCCATCCTTCACCCCTCCTGCCCGCTGCCTTACATTCACAGCACGAGGACTGGTTTTCTGCTATGCAAATGAAATTCATGGCTGCAGGTGCAGCACGTCCTGTTAATATCCTTTGAAGTGTGAAATTGTTTTACTTTACCTGATTCCACTCTTGCTTATTTTCCCGAGCTGGTGCTAGTGCATCTGTCTGAGTGCTGGGCATCCACTGACGTGTGGGTGGTGCTCTGGAAATGAAAATAGTACAGCACATCTAATATCAATAATTAACGCAGTGGATGGATGGGTGTGGAGAAATACGTGCATGATGTTTATTTTTATTTCACTGTAGAATAAAGACCTTAAAAGCGAGGACAGAGTTTTCTGTATCAAAAAAAAAAAAAAAAAAAAAAAAAAAAAAAAAAAAGAGAGAGAGAAAGAAAAAGAAAAAAAAAGTTCAAGTAGGGAAATGCATTGTTATATGAGTGAAGGGTTGCTTTTGCACAAAGCACTCCTTTCTGATGTCCCCAAACGCATTTTCTCTGGTGTGCTGCATTACTTGTGCCATAGCTATTTTACTGGGGAGAAATTATATGAGAATGGGAGAAATTACGTACTCAGGGCTTTTCTAGAGCAAAATAATTACTCTCATGTTTAGTTCCCATGTGGATACTCATATTCTGCAGTGGAGAAGTATGAATAGTGCCACTGAATTTTACCACGTGAACAAGCCCTCAGGCACTTGAACATCAGAGCACTTGATAAGAGGCATTAGTTTGCCAGAGAGCAGAATTACCCAGGAATGCCAACAATCTGTCCTTTGCACTGAAGAGAACAATACTGAGACCCTGTGATTTCTTATGCAGTTTTTTTTTTTATGAACAAAAGGACATTTTCAGAAGAATTTTTGATCTTGCAATCAGTTACAAAATAAAGGTTCCTAGATTTGTTTAAAATCATTAACTTTTCCTTTAAAACTTCGTAGCAGTGTCTGGACAATCTAACATGCAGGTTCAGAAGACATTGTGTATATTTAGTCTCAATATTGGGTAATACACCCTTGAGCTCTTTTTGGCATGAAGACCTTAAAAAACCCACAAACAAAAATAAACCAACAGCCTGTGACAACCCTAAGCTCAGAAGGACTCATCAGTATTAAAACTGACATTACTGTTTTGTGGATGTGAGACATGTAACAATGCCTAACCTTTTTTATCTTTATATTTCTCAGCATTATGACGGTCCTGAAGCCTGGGAGCACTAATTATATGTAAACTTTCTATTTCTGGGCAGCAGTAGTTCTTCACAGTGATGTTCCTGAAGTGACTGCCTGTGACCAGAAAAATGTGAGCTGTTTAGGAGGACCTGATACTTAACCAAAACTAGCTCAAATTTTCTAACTAGTGTCAGTAAAAACAAACAACAAAACTATTTCTTGCAATAAATGACTGTAATTTTAAAAACCACTCAAGTACTGAAAAAGCTTATGGAGAGTACAAGATCAGCTGCCTTGCCTGGGGCTGTACTGAAAGCAAACTGCTGCCCAGCCTGAACTAGAACTGCAGAGCTCGTGGCTCATCAGGTTGTGTTCAGCCCACACTTCTCCTCTAGCCTGGGAGACAAACAACATTTCACTATTTTAAGATCATCCTTTGCAAAAGTAGGAAAACAAAACAGAATAAGAAGAAACATGAATTTCAGAGCAAGTCCTGTTCTAAAGGTGTGAAATTGATAGAGAAAATGTTTAAGGATAGGTTGTGGGGAAGGGCTGGGGACAGATGAAGTATCTCATGGAACCAGGTCAGAATCAGAGTCACAGAATATCCTGAGTTGGAAGGGACCCACAAGGATCACTGAGTCCAACTCCTGGGTCTGCGCATGACCACCCAAGGCAGAGAGAAGACGAGCAAAAAGAGACAAGGCAGAAATAGGAAAAAATACATCTTACTTTGTGAAGACTTCATTTATGAAGCAAATTTGAATAAACTGGTGTTTAGTCTGGGGAAGAAAAGACTGGGTGAGGCTGCATCTTGAGTACTGTGTTCAGCTTTGGGTCCCTCAGTACAAGAAGGACATTGAGGCCCTGGAGCGTGTCTAGAGAAGGGCTACGAAGCTGGTGAAGGGCCTGGAACACAAGTCCTGTGAGAAGCGGCTGAGGGAACTGGGGGTGTTTAGTCTGGGGAAGAGGAGGCTCAGGGGAGACCTCATTGCTCTCTACAGCTACCTGAAAGGAAGGTGTGAGGAGCTGGGGGTCAGCCTCTTCTCGCAGATATCTAGTGATAGGACTAGAGGGAATGGCCTCAAGTTGTGCCAGGGGAGGTTCAGGTTGGAAATGAGGAGACATTTCTGCTCAGAAAGAGCAGTCAGGCACTGGGACGGGTTGCCCAGGGAGGTGGTGGAGTCACCGTCCCTGGGGGTGTCCAGGGAAAGGACCTGTGTGTTAGATTGTCCTTTCACTGATCCTGATAATCATTTTCTCCTTCCCAAGCCTACTGTAAGGGAAAAGGATGCATAATGCAGACACATCATGCTTCATAGCAGTGCTGCACTCCACCATGGCAGGGTTCCTCTTCACAATTTCAGATTTGCATTTCAGTCATGTCAAATTTCTATTGGCTGTGATGTTTCAGATTTAAAATGGGAGGGGAGAAGGAGGATGTAGTGAAATGAAATGCGGTGGCAGCAAAATGCAGGTTGGATGTCACTTTATTCAGAAGATCTTTCTTCTTGGCAGGATTTAGGAAGGAAAGCTGCCTAAGAGAGCTTTCTCCAAACCCTTTGGGGCTTAGTTGCAGCCACTTCCACCTGAGAGAGACTTCCTTCCCCCATGCCATGCACTTTCCCAGATCATTAAGTTTCGTTTCTTCTTTTCATTATACAGAGAGCAATCCTAATGAACAGTGCCTCAGAAACCTCTCAGTAATAACACAATAGGATTATTTGTATGTGGTTGGGTTGTGAGGGTGCGTATCACTTACGCAGCCAGCTCCGGCTGGCTTTGGTGAAGGGGGAGACAAGGTGACTCTAAGAGATTGTGTGAACACAGGGCTTGATCCTCCACTGTCCCGTGCACCTTGCAAAGTCACTCAAACCTGGGGAATGGGAGAGAAAACCGCTGCCACTGAAGCCAATGAAAAATTCCAACTAATTCAGCTAAGGTACCAATGACCAAAACAGGAAAAAAAAGAGCACAGCTCCTTTTCCTTCTTATGACAGAAAGAAAAGAAAATGAAGACAATGGTTTAGTCCCATTTGCCTGAAGGAGGCAGATGCAAACTACAACCGTTTGAGAATGCACTATTTTACACCCATATTTTATGGCAAAAAATGAAAGATTCCTCAGCCCGGTGCTCCCTTCTGACAAAGCCCAGTTCAAGCTGCCTTGGCAGCAGTGGCTACCAAAAACAGCCCTGGCATAAAGAGATAACCAGCTGGCATGCACCTGGAGGTTTGGCCAGCCCAGATGGGCTCTGAATGGAAGTCCTGCCTGCTGCTGGGCCTTGGCTGCTTGGTTTCTCCTACTATCTCCAAAGCAGCTACGTCTCCATACAAAAAAAATATATAAATAAATAAATAAATAAAATCCTCTTACATAGGTTTAGTAATAGCATTTGGCTGTACTGGAAGTGGCCACTCAGCCCAACAAGTCTGTTCCCTTTAAATTGATCTCCACCCCATCTCTTTGCCTGGTCAGTCTGTTCCCGAATCCTCTCCTCCCTATAAAAGTGGCACTACCTCTTAATTCATTTCTATCACTTGCTGCGTTAGTGCCTTACTCAGCAATTTCCTCATGTATTTATGGCTCTCTGGGAAACAGGAATGACATTAAGTCATTGTTTATTCCTTCTTTGCATCTCCATTAACAGCAGGTGTTTCAGCTCCGCAATAACCTTAATACACTATCTGCTCCCACAGTTTACAAGACATGAGTATGGCTGGAAGTCCACTTCCTAGCCCACTTGCCCCAAAGGGTTTGCATGGTCTGCTTTGTGCTTTTGGGGTCGACATAATGGTGACTACCCCAGAACAGCTGGTCATCACTATGGCCAGTATTTCATGTAGATCCTACTGACTGCCTAGTGTGAGTTCACTGTCAGCATTCAGATACATTGCTTGAGGCAGCAGTAGATACAAAAACAGTTATTTGGGACAGAGGGAGAAGAGAGGGAAGCGTTTATTTTCTTTTGATTAGAAACACTGAATAAGCAATTGCTACAGGTGAAAAATGGGATCAGGATGTTGCAGGAGTTAGGGACTCCTCACGGATTTTTCCTTTTCCTTGCTTGGAAGTGTGGACCTCAAATGCCCTTTAATTAAAGCCATATACCATGCCACTTGTCTCTCAGCAGTTCATACTGAGATATGCAATGGGTAGGACGGTGATAAATTGCAGCTTTTATTAAGTATCAGGCTGGGACATCAGAGCCTTGTGCTTCTAATAACATCTGGACAACCAACTCTAAAAAAAGCCCAGAACTGGTATCAGTGGAAGTGTGCAATCAGCTCAGCGACCTAGGCAGATGCTGTCAGAAGCCCAGAGCAAGCGAATGATGAAATCCATCTGTTGAGGCTGATCTGCAGTGAATCCAAGCAGTAAGCAGTCACCCGCCAGGAGCTGCTGGCACTGTCACCTTTCCAGATCCTCAGTGAAACCGGGAGAAAGGCTTGCACTTTGATTAGGCTTTCAGCGTCAGAAAAAGGCTGCAACATGTAGAAAATGGAAGAATGAGTTACTTGGAAAATGAAAATCTGGGACAACTAAGCTCAGAATGAAAGCTAATAAGAGACCCTGTCCTGAAAAATCAGAGAACACCAAGAAATTGATTGTGGGAAAAAAATAAATAAATCCCAAACATTCCTACCATATTTCTTCAAAATATAAAGAACAACAGCACAGGGGGTGCAGTAATGATATCTCCAAAGTAATTCATGGTATGCGTCTAAAGGTCTATACAGCAGATTTTTGACATAATACAATGATGTTTGCAGGCAGAATAAAATTATTTAGTGAAAGCTTTTACTAGTATGATTTACATACATGCAGAAAACTGCCCCAATTACCAACATCTTATACCACCCAAGAAAACAGGAGAAAAGAGGACTTTTCTCAATAAAAGTGTTGTATGTTTATAAATTACATTATGGCAAAATGTTGAAATCTCTAGAAAGGCTATGATACATTATCTTGCAGGGGTTCTTTAAAGTTTTGATAAACTAGCATCCTGCAGGCTTGGGCCCCTAAACAGCAGAGTGATTGCTGAGCTCCATGAAAGCTCTGGGATTATTTTGGCCTTCTGAAATATGCTTTGAGCCTCTTGTTCTTTAAACTGCAGGGGCTTTTTCCTATACTACAAATGTGCGTAAGTGGCGATGGCAGCCAGAAGGATCTGCATGTGATCCAGTGCATAATCACTTCCACAAGCATCTGCTGCTAGTGCTTTCAAGGTACACGTAATCCAAGCCGGAGACTATTGTGAATACCTCTCATTTTCCCTTGCTGGTTTCTTAATGGTTTGCTTGCAGCTAGTTAGAAACAGAATCTCCCCCCCCCCCCCCCCACACACACACTTAAATTGGTCATAATCTCTCCAAGATTCATGATGCAGCAGGAAAAGACCAAACTGCATTGAGTTCAGGATGGGTTCATTCTCTTAAAGGTACGAGATGTCAAGTTTCGGGAAAGAACAAAAGCATTTGCATAATTAAAATACTACACTTCTTCCCCATTCAAAAGAAAATAAAGCAGGTGTTTTCTACTCCAAATTTCACATGTATTCCAATGATTTCTTTTCCATTTCTATGTGGGACATTTCAGGCTGTCCATGTTCTTAGGAAATAGATTTTTTCCCATTATGCTAAGAAAGGTAATAGCTGGAAAAAAAGTTTCCTTCATTT